TCAAATTACACACAAAATAGAACCTGGTCCAGCATTGTAAATAAGACACCATATGAAGTGATGTATAATAGGAAACCAAAATTAGCACACATGCACATATTCAGAGTCACTGCAGACGTACACATACCTAAGCAATTAAGAAGAAAGGGAGAAAATGTGTCCAGAAGACTCAGATTCAGCTGTGTTCCATGAACAGGCCAACTGGTCTAAATTACATCTTAATGAAATATTTCCAAATAAATACAAAGATACAAAATCTCATGAGAAAGGGACCATAGAAAAGCAAAATATCAACAAATATAAAAACAAAACCAAAACTTGGACAAATAGCCAACACAAAATAAAGACAGGCACACTAACAAAAAAGGAAGCAAGATATTTGCATGATAACGATAGTAAACCTGAAAAAACTATTAGAAACACCAGAAATCAAATGCCAAATAAATACAAGGATTATATAATGCACATGGATGGTGAGCCAACAACACCTAATACATATGAGGAAGTGTTAAAACTCCCTCGTGAAGAAAAAGAAAAATGGGAATTAGCGATGAAAAAGGAGATGGAAAGTTTACAAGGATTAAATGTATTTACACCTGCAATTGCACCTAAAGATAAAACAATTATTGGTACCAGGTGGATATATAAAATTAAGAACTTAGAGGGAGGCAATACTCTATACAAAGCCAGACTAGTTGCACAAGGTTATGCACAGAAATATCCGGAGGACTATACTGACACGTATTCCCCCACAGTAAGAACAGAGAGTGTCAAAACAGCTCTAGTGGTAGCATCAGCACTCAATCTTGATGTATTTCAATATGACATACAGACTGCGTATCTACACGCAAAACTAGATAAGGAAATATACGTAAGAGCACCTCACAGTCAATACACAAACAAAAATGAGATTTGGTTGTTAAACAAGAGTTTATACGGGTTAAAACAATCTGGTAAACGATGGTATGATTGTTTAGTAAAAGTACTTAAAACCATGGACTTCAACGCTACCACTGCTGATAACTGTTTCTTTGTCAAAAAGGGTGATGATTACATTGAATTTATATTGATTTATGTGGATGACATTTTATACATAGGAAAACATAAAGAGAGAAGAGAAACTTTTGTAACTAAGCTAAATGAACATTTCTCGTTAAAATCCCTAGGCAAAGTAAACAAATATCTTGGTGTTCAAATTAATAAGACTAGAAGGGGATTCAAACTTACTCAGAGAGATAAGATCATAGAACTTTTAAATAAATGCAATTTAAATAATGCCAAACCTTGTGATACTCCTATGCAAACTGATTTTCTAAGAAATACTGATGAATCTTCCCCCGAATTCAAGGATAACACATTTTATAGATCAATCATAGGTTCACTTCTTTATATATCTAATTGGACAAGACCAGATATCGCCTTACCACTCAATTTATTATCCAGACATGTCAGCAGACCAACAATGTATCACTGGGAAGCTGTTAAAAGAATTTTAAGATATCTGAAAAGTACACTAGACTTTTGTTTAATGTTAGAACCTAATGACAATAAAGAACCAAAGCTTACATGTTATGCAGATGCAGATTGGGCTGGAGACACCTCATGTAGAAAAAGTACATCTGGTTATATATTCCTCTTAAATGACTGTCCAGTTTACTGGTACACTGGTAAACAGGAACTAGTGGCCACTTCAACGACAGAAGCGGAATATGTTTGTTTATCCAAAGCTGCAAATAACCTTGTATGGTTTAATGATTTAATTTCAGATGTTTGGAAAAAACCTGCTTTGCCTTTTGTTATGCATGAAGACAATAAAGCAGCCATTGAAATATCTAGATCTGATGCTATTGGACAAAGGTCCAGACACATAGATATAAAATTTAAACATGTGAGACAATTATCTCAAGATGGATTTATTAAAGCAGTGCATTGTGATACTTCAGAACAATTAGCTGACATATTGACAAAGCCTTTACCTTCTAAGCAACATAAATATTTAACTTCTAAGTTGTATGTTTTGTATTGTCCTGAATCTGAATGTAATTGGTGTTGCATAACGAATCGGCATTTAGAGGGGGATTTGTCAGATGTAAATGCCTTATTCTCTAATGTGTAAATAGTATATGAACGGGGTATCAGGGGTTAACTTATTCTCCACTTCTTAATGTATTCATAATTCACCACTCCCACATATAGCTCCACCCATTGTATATATAAGGAGCTACATGCACCCTTTTCCTCGCTTCTATCTGTGAATATTCAGTGAATATAGAATGCCTATTGTAAATAAAAGAAAATATATTTAAACCTTTAACTCTTACTAATCTTATTGAGTCTGATCCTGAAAATATTGCAACACTCACATTTAACCAAATATGTAGAAACAAACTGCTATGATTCCTTCATCCTTGATTTTTACAATACCTGATTTTTACCATAATTTTGACTTACCATGTCCTTGGTGAAGCCTGCAAAGTGAAAATTTTGTTCAGTCTCCATGTGCAACTAACCCCACAACACTCACTGCTTCTCCAAAAAAATGCAGCTTTTTGCTTTTGTTAATGCAAACATTTGGAGGTCAAAATTGTATCGTTAACATTTGGGGGAAAGTAAATGGACAGTTTTCATTGAAGTAGAAATGAAACTCTAAAACGGGTGCTGTACTAGCTCCAGTTAGTTGCATGTAATAATCCTATTTTATTTGCTAGACATTTGTAGCTTCCAGTCGTAGAAAAACACAGATCAGGTAATACTTGGGGAGATAGTTGATTGCATTATTTGCTCTACTGCAGGGGTGTCAAACTCATTGCCCATGGGTCAGATGTGGCATGTTCTGGCTCCGCCCTCGCCTGGTTTAGCAAAAGGGGGGAAAGTCTTGATACATCACGTTACACCGCCGTGACGAAGCGAGTTTGACACTCAGGCTGATCTACTGTAATAATTCTTCTGGCTAACAGAGAACTACAGCGATTCATTTCAAAATGAAGCAAAGGCATTTTAGTTTTTAAGCACTAATATACTGTAGCTTTTTTTTATTATTATTTATTTATTTTATCTCGAATTTATATACCGCACCTTCTCCCGAGGGACTCAGGGCGGTGTACAGCCAGATAAAAACATACAATACAAACATTAAAAACAATTAAAAGGATATATATTAATTTGGCCCCAATTTAAGATAACAAACCAATTAAGAATTAAAAAATATTTAAAAAAATATGTTAAGCCAGCCCGGCTTGCTGAAAAAAGAAAGTTTTAAGGGCACGGCGGAAGGCACCGAGGTCTTGGATCCTCCTTATCTCAGGGGGCAGCTGATTCCAGAGGGTAGGTGCCCCCACAGAGCCTATCAAGTACAAAGAATATTATCTTGAATTAGAAGTCGGTGGATACAAAGTTTAATCAGAGGTGGGCTTCAAAAATTTTAGCAAGGGGTTCTCTGCCCGGTTGCTGGGTGGGCATGGCCATGGTGGGTGTGGCCTAGTCGGCCTCCTGCACCAAGGCGGGGGGTGGGGTGTTTTTGCCCTCCCTGGGTTCCAGAGGCTTTCCTTGAGCCTCCAGGAGGGTGAAAATGGCCTTCCCAGGCTATGGAGGCCCTCAAGTAGGCCCATTTTTCACCCTGTGCAAGCCTCCATGCACGCCCTGCACCTACCTGCATCGAAAACTGGCCACGTGGGGACTCCTGGGAGGGGAGGGGAGGTGGATGAGGCCAGCCAGGAGTGGGATTTGCAGGTTCTCCGAACTGCACAGAATCTTAGCTAAAGGTTCTACGAACACCAGCAGCCCATCCCTGAGCTTAATGGAAAAATAATGAACTCAGGAGCAGAAACTGGGAAATTTGATTGATTGGTCAATTTGATTGTTCTACAGTAAAAGAACTTCAAACCGCTCAATTTCAGGTTCCTGAAAAATTCAGTTTTATCTCTGTGGCCAGAACCAAAATCATGGGTTTTATTTTAGTATACTAGTTACTTTATTGATGAATGCCAGGAAGATTGCTTCCCAAATGCTCAATAGAATTATTTTTAATTGCTATCAAGTACCTAAGAATCTCCTCTCATTTTATCTCCTAATAACAAACCATGCATTGGGCTAGGCTAAAAGTTTATAATGCAGTGAACAACATGGTCAAATGAAAATTTGACCTTGAATTTTTCCAGTCCATCCCCTTAATCCTTAGATTGAATTGCTATATATTTTTACAGTTGTGTTTATTGCTGTTTCCTTCCTCAACTTCATCTTTCTTGTTCCTCCATTTCTTTTGTATTGCAGCAAAGTTCATCAATGCTTGATGTGACCAAAAGTTTTGTTTTTCAGTTGGCTTGATGCTGAGAGGAAGTGATTGGCCCAAGGTCACCCAGCTGCCTTCTTAGCCTAAGGAAGGACTGAAACCTGGGCTTCCCCACTCCTAATCCAGCCGCACCTACACACTTTTTTGGTTTTCATCAGTGGTGGGTTGCTCCCGGTTCGGTCCGGTTCTTGCGAACCGGTAGTAATGCCGGTGGAAGGCTCCACCCATGGACGATCTGCACATGTGCAGAAGTGCACAAGTGCACGCTCCCATTGCAAACCGGTAGTAAGGGTAACTGGAACCCACCCCTGGTTCTCATATGTCCTTTAATATAATGATTGCTATATCTAGGCTTAGAGGAGATTCTCTCACTCAATCCACCAAATTATTCTAGGCTTCACCTCCTTAATCCAGACTGTTTTTGTCCCACCATACTCCCATAATCCAGATTTTGATTTTAAAACTATACTATCTATATCTACAAAAAAACAATTGAATTTTTTCTTCATTTCAGCATCGGTTTCTTAAGTCTTCTAAGACATATGGAAACAATGATAGGGAATTAAGTCTGGATCCTATTCCCCACTCCAAGAAAAAAGTGTATTTCCATGGCCCATGCATGCTCCAGCGTGATCTTAGTGCCCTATATAAAGAACTCACTTTAGAAACAATTCTACTTTGCCCAGATTCATTCTTAACTAACAGTGACAGTTGGAGTGATGAGTTCATTGTGTGCATTATGACATCATAGATTACAAGACAACTTGGTGCTGCTATTTTAAGAGAACTTCAACAGTTGGAACTAAATTCTAAACAAAATCTGACTTTTTCTGAAAAAATGGCAAGTAAAGGAATGGTAAAGGAAGAGACTTTGTGGGAAAAAATAAAAGTAAGTGAAATATGGAATAATAGAGTTGGAAGGGACCTTGGAGGTCTTCTACTTCAACCCATGGCTCAAGTAGGAGATCCTATATCATCCTGACAAATGGCTGCCCAATCTCTTCTTAGAAACCTCCAGTGAGGGAGCACCTACACAACTTCTGGAGGCAAGCGGTTCCAGGGATTAATTGTTCTCACTGTCAGGAAATTTCTCTTTAGTTTCTCTTTAGATCTTTCCTTGATAAGTCTCCATCCATTATTTCTTGTCCTGCCCTCAGGTAGTTTGGAGAAAAGGTTGCCTCCCTCTTCTCTGTGACAGTCCCTCAAATATTGTTCTCACTGAGCTCCCAAATTAGCTCTGCTTCTTCCAGTGACATTGAAACCTCACCAGTGTTCATCTCTTTGAACTCCATAAAGATTAGGAGATTTAGTTGTGTCCCCTTATACTTCAAACATTGTCCATCTTTTGATTTATTGTTGATCTAATTATAATTGAATGGATACTTGCAATATGTTAATTCAAAACCTGGTTTACAAATTATATTGGTTTAATATATGTGTAAAAATAGCTTCCATCATTAAGTTAAAACCAAATAGCATTCTAGTTTAATGCAGTGGGAATCTTATCTATGATGGAATGGCTTGCTAGCAGATTTTTATTTGAATCTGTATTTCTGCTTTGAGAGATCCTTCTGGAGTTGACCAAAACACCTTATCCATCTCAACTTTTATCACACCATATATCCTTCTTAGGCAACTAAACTTTGGCTAGATTCATCTAGATACCTAACTGGGTCAAAAGTGGGGGCAACTATTGCACAAATCCACCAATTAGTACTGATGCATAAGTGGGACAATTTTAACCCCATTGGGAGTCTTGTCAGTTAGATTATCCTTTCTCAATCAATCATGCTGGGTGATGCTAAAAAAAAAAAAGAACAGTCAAATTAGTTTGTGAGTTTGGTGATCTATCATTGCCATCCTGAACTTGCTTAAACAACTTGGGGCTGATAATTCACTAGGATTCAGGTCTTTGTGGATTCCTGTTTTCCCATGAGAGATGACGCATTTTCCTCAACCCAGCCAACAGAATTTTTTTTGCCTCCTTAGCTGCCTTGATTTGCTACCTCCCTTTTTCCTGATGTGGGCTTTGATGATCACATTGCCTATTAAGAGGAGGACATGCAGAAGTTTTTGGGCCCAGTCCAGAGGTGGGTTTCAGCAGGTTCTGACCAGTTCTGGAGAACCAGTAGCGGAAATTTTGAGTAGTTCAAAGAACCGATAGTAAAAATTCTGACTGGCCCCGCCCCCATCTATTCTCTGCCTCCCGAGTCCCAGCTGATCTGGAGGAAATGGGTATTTTTTTTTTTTTTAATTTGATTTATATGCCGCCCTTCTCCGGAGACTCAGGGCGGCTTACAGTGCGTTAAGCAATAGCCTTCATACTTTTGTATATTTATACAAAGTCAGCTTATTGCCCCCACAAACTGGGTCCTCATTTAACCTACCTTTAGAAAGGATGGAAGGCTGAGTCAACCTTGAGCCTTGGAGAGATTCGAACCAGCAGTAAATTGCAGGCAGCTGTGTTAATAACAGGGTGCTTTAAACCACTGTAGTACCAAGGCTCTTGCAGTAACCTTTGCAGTAACCTTCCCCTGGATTGGGGAGGGAATGGAGATTTGACAGTATCCTTCCTCTGCCATGCCCACCAAGTCATGCCCACAGAACCGGTAGTAAAAAAATTTGAAACCCACCACTGGCCCAATCAATCTTTTTGGATCATGAGCTTGTCTTCTGGAGTGTTTGTTATTCCTGCCAGTTTATTGTCATCTGCAAATTTGATGACTTCCCCTTCTATTCCCTCGTCTAGATTGTTTATGAAGATATTGGAGTGTAATGGGTACCTTAGGGTACCCCACTGCTTACTTCCCTCCATGTGGCTGTTGTTATGTTGAGAAATACACATTAAATATGATTTGTCAGTTAACATTAACTGCATTAACTGATGTTATATCTTCCACTATCTGATCATATCACTACTTTGAGACAATGTGATCTGTCCAGATCTAATGTGCAGCCACTAATATATATCAGTCCATAATTTATTTGGGACAGGTCCATGGTTACCATGGAAGCCATAAATTCCTGAGCTGCCTTGGACTCAAAGCCATCAAGCAGCAAATTGAATTTCCCAACCATTAACAGCCTCAGGGACTCTATTGCCAGCCCAGCAATGAAATCCAGAGTTCCGATGGGGATGATAATGAGCAGCAGCAGGGATGGCAGTATACCTGCAGCAATCCCAACTGTTCCCTTGAAGTCAACTTTTATCTGTGCCTCATATCCAATTTATCGGGATTACCGGGACAGCAAAGCCTTTAAGGGCCTTCAAAGTCTCATGGATGACAACAGCTACCCCATCCAATCCTCCCAGTTAGACTCGGTAGATGTAAAACCTGAAATCTCTGGGCCCAGCCAGGTCTCAGATATGTGGGGTTGGTGCCCTTATCCATGATAAGGTCATGAATGAGGCCAGACAAACCAACTTCAAAAGTATAGCTGGAGTTCAGGCCCACTGAGGATCTGATAGTCATGCATTGAGAGAGGAAATTGAGGGCCAAACTGTCAAGCACTAGATCCAATATTATTTAACATGGTGCACCCTGGGTTCTTGTCACACTTCTCTGCCCATCATCATCCTGATGTTCCTTCTTGTCTTCTCCAAACAACTCCCTCCTCATTCCTTCCTCCTAGATCAAAGACACATTCACCAATCTCTCCCACCCATATTATACATTCACAAACCAATGCCCTGTGTGTCTTCTGGCTACAATCGCACAAGCACTTGATGGCCTCAAAGGGAACAAGCCCTGCAGAGAAAATAATGCACCCAAAGCCCCACAAGCAGTGGTGGGTTCCTCCCGGTTCGGTCGATTCGGCCGAGCCGGTAGCGGTGACGATATGACGTCACCGAACCGGTTCTCCCCCCCCCCGCCGTCCCACCCACCCACCCACGTTATTCTTACCTTTTATTTGGTCCCACCCCCAATCTATTGCTGCCTCCTGAGTCCCAGCTGATGACTAGAGGGAAAAAAACTGTTTAAACTCTTGCCGCGGGGCTTCAAAGGGTCGTCCTACAGCTGATCAGTGTTAAAAGCAAACAAATGAGTCGGGTCGTAAGTGCGAGGACTGGTCGTAAGTGCGAGGACCTTCCAGAAATTACTCTGACCAGCTAGCCACGCCCACCTAATCACATGACCTCCAAGTCACACCCACAAAATAAGCCACGCCACAGAACCGGTAGTAAAAAAATTTAGAACCCACCCCTGCCCACAAGCCACACACACAACCCATAAGTGGGGAACTTCAGAACTCTGAATGATTAGGAGGGCTGAGGTGACACCATCCCCTAGAACTCAGAGCAGAGTCCCAGTCAGAAACTCTAGAGCCCAAAAAAGAGGGGCTGGAGCCCAAGGAGTGGCTTCCAGCAACATTGGTAGTCCCAGAGTCAGGACCACCAATGGCCTCCAAGTTAGCAAAAGAGGTCCTAGAAAAAATACAGCACCACTCCGGTGTTGCCAGGCTACTGTACAACAACCATCAGCCACCTCAGGCCAATCATGTTAAACATCCAAGTATGTCTGTCTTGCCACAGCAAGCTCTAAATAGTCCACAGCACCTTCTTGTCACTGCCAGCTTCAAAAGTGTTGCTGGCTCCATTAATTTTGGCAGACTCCCAGGAGCCCAAGGTGGTTCCCAGCACCAGAGATGGCTCCCATTGTGAACCAGTAGTAAAGATAAGTAGAACCCACCCCTGGTCTGGGCCCAGACATAGTTTTGATTGCCAGTAGTCAGCAGTTGCAAAATGTGTGTTTCACTCACTGTTTAGCAGACACAGCCACATAGATCTGAAATGGACACACCTGAATCTAGAAGGGATCCTATCTATCCCCGTCCGATACGTCTTAACTAGATGTCCCCAGATGTGCTGATACACAATTCTTGAGATTTCCAAGCAGCATTAGAAATTATGGGAATTATGGGCTAGGAAAGGATGGACTCACCAGTTGCTTCATTGCCACCCTTTTGTTCATCAACCTTTTGAAGTATCCAAAAAAATACACAGTGACACCTATTGATAAGCACGGTAGCATGGGACTCAGTGTTACCTGAGTATTTGGTAGCATGGGACTCAGTGTTTCTCAGTATTCTCCTTCGGACAGCTCTAAACTTTTTGTAGATTTAACTGATATCTCACTGTCTCTTCTCTCTGCAGAGTAAATTCCCCTGGGCCAAAAAAGAGGAACCCCCACCTCCACCACGACCAGCAGCAGTGCAGACTAAACAGGTTTCTCCACAAAAGAGATTGGAGGTACTGGTCAGGGATTTGATGTTGCCGATTTTGAGGATATAAACTATTTGACTATCCATTAAGAAAAAAACTATAGCATCTGTGTCACACCAGATGTACATTTATGTCATGTACATAAACAAATATTCATATGGAAACTAAATAATACTTTGAGTGCACCCTTTTCAGTCTTATAAAAGGGTACATTTAATCAAGGTCACAAGCGATCTGATCTGATCACAACCAGTGGTGGGATTCAGCCAGTTCAGGAGAACCGGTTGTTAACTTTCTGAGCAGTTTGTTAAACTGGTTGTTGGAAGAAATCATTAGGGCAGAGAATTGGTTGTTAAATTACTTGAATCCCACCACTGATCACAACCCACCAATCAGGTTCTGAATTATATGTGAGAATCTGTGCCCCATGCACTGGAGAAATGATCTTAATAAATCTTGGAACTTGTGGTCTAAGAACCCCAAAGAGCCCTTCAATTTATTAATTTCAAATGTTATGTCTCCGTAGAGGATAATCTTAGGCTAGCAATATCTAAACTCAATTTTACTTGAACCATCTGAAAAGAAAGAGTAGAAGCAAACCTTGATACACTGCCGAGGGCCTGCTCCTGACACAAGGCAAGAGACATATTTTAAGTGTCATTAATATTGGCAGAGAGTGAAAGGCAGAATTGATTTAGCACTGGAAAAAGAATTGAACCAGTTTGACACATTACACCAAAGGCCCAAGGAAGTTAGCATTCTCTTCTTTCTGTTGTCAACACCAAATTTCTGCAGGTGTGCCTACAAGATTTAAGGGCTCGAGCACTCTTCTAATGAGATTGGTATAAAAGAGGTATTGTTCTGACTCAGAAGGTAGTGTCTTGCCATTGTGACTAGAAGCTTTTTATACAGGTAGATCTTGTTTACTGACTTAATCATTCAGTGACTGTTTGAAGTTACAACAATGGCACTGAAAAAGATAACTTTATGACCAATGCCCACATTTATGACCCTTGCAGTATTCCTCAGTCACACGATCACCATTATAGTCAGTATACATTGTCCTGTGCCTGACCTGTTGTTTCACCCACCCACCTACCCGCAGTTTTGCAGAGCAGAGAAATTGAAGAGAAAGGGAATGCAAAAGACTAATCAGGCACACAAAGGGGAATACAACAGCTATTTGCGTAATGTGCTCAAGACTGCTAGTGTCATCGCATTCCTTTCAATGTGGCGTCCATTGTCTGCCTGCTTGTAACCCTTTCTTCTCAAATGAATGTAAATACAAAGGTTAGTTCTGTTCTTCCAATTTTGCCATGCAATAGTGAGTTTTCCAAAGGACAGGAGAGTTGGGAAAAGAAAAGCACAGTCATCTGGTTTTCCACTTAGCAACTACTTCGCTTAATGATAGAGCTGCTGGTCTCCTTTGTAGTTGCTAAATGAAGACTACCTAGTAGTTTTATCTTCCATGCATATTTTTAAGTCACTGGTCGGCTGCATGGTTCTTCATATGCAGGTCATATGCTTTCAAGTTGCTGGTTATCACCATATATTGCTGATAGCCAGGATGTCTTCCAAACCGATTATTGTTATTATATAATAATAACATATTATTATATAATAACATATAATATAATAATAATAATTATAATGAACATATAATAATAATATTAAAATATGTAATGTATTAATATACTATATAATAATAAAATAATAATATTAATTAGCTTTATAACACCAATAATAATAAAAATTGGAAAAGATCAGAAATTATTAAGATCTAATTATTAAGATTGAAATCGACAGATTATAGCATAAACCAGCCAAGGAGGTCTCAGTGATTATAGCAATAGCAATAGCACTTAAGATTTATATACCGCTTCATAGTGCTTTTTACAGCACTCTCTAAGCGGTTTACAGAGTCAGCATATTGCCTCCAACAATCTGGGTCCTCCTTTTATCCACCTCAGAAGGATGGAAAGCTGAGTTAACCCTGAGCCAGTGAGATTTGAACTGTCAAATTGCAGGGAGCCGACAGTCAGCAGAAGTAGCCTGCAGTCCTGCACTCTAACCACTGCGCCACCGTGGCGCATGTCGGCATAATGGGTGCCATTCCAGAAATCTTGGAATGCATTTAGAAAATCTGTACATTGACAAAATTCCCACTGGTCAATTTCTAAAGGCCACATTGTTTGGATCCACACTTATACTGATATATTACAACAACTTAGGGTTCTTGGGAAGAACTTGATGCATATGAAGGTCCATAGCAGCTAAAGCACTCATAGCTGGAACTTCACGTAATGAACACCATCAAATAATACCAGCCTATCTTAGATCCTTGGACAGGACTTGTTAGGTGGATAAAAATGCCAAATCCATCCTGAACATCTGGCTGACTGTGGGATCAACCATAATAATAGAATATCTTATTGAAGTTCCTATCTTTTCAGTGATGTGATAGAGGGGGCCTGAAAGCAAACATTCTTTTGGAGGACTGTCCCAAAACAAATAAATGCATTCTGATTTCTGATTTCTGGACCTTTTCCAGATATGAAGTATAATTTCTAGACCTGCAACGAGTTTTCCCAATGTAGCTGCTTGTCAAATTAAAAAGCTATGCAACAATAAACACTGAAATGAATCAAAACCAGGGAGAAGCAAAGCATTTAAAAAGTGTGATTGACTTAATGTTGCCACACTTAATGAGTGAAAACAGAATCTGCACCATAGCCTGACATAGGGATCAATTAATTCTCAATCCACCAGTTTGGTCTAGTGGTTAAGGCATCAGGCTAGAAACCAAGAGACTATGAGGTTTTTTTAAAAAATAAATATATATTTATTTATTAAACCTTGATCTCCCCAACAGGCAATTTTTCGTTGGCGTTCTAGTGCTGCCTCAGGCCATGAAAGCTGGCTGGATGACTTTTAGCCAATCTCTCTCAGCCCAACCCATCTCACAGAGTTGTTGCTGTGGGGAAAATAGGAGGAAGGAATATTAGTTGTCTTAAACTTGTAGTTGTTTTAAACTATCATGTAATCAAGAGTCACCATGATATAAAAAATATTTTGAGACTCTAGAAAGAGTGCAGAGAAGAGCAACAAAGATTATTAGGAGACTGGAGGCTAAAACATATGAAGAAAGGTTGCAGCAATTGGGTGTTCTTTTTTTAAAATTTAATTTATATGCCGCCCTTCTCCAGAGACTCAGGGTGGCTTACAATGTGCTCAGCAATAGCCTTCATCCTTTTGTATATTTATACAAAGTCAGCTTATTGCCCCCACAACTGGGTCCTCAATTTACCTACCTTAGAAAGGATGGAAGGCTGAGTCAACCTTGAGCCTGGCAAGATTCGAACCTGCAGTAATTGCAGGCAGCTGGTCTTAATAACAGGGTGCTTTAGACCACTGTACTACCAAGGCTATTTCTAGTTTAATGAAAAGAAGGACTAGGGGGTGACATGATAGCAGTGTTCCAATATCTCCAAAGAAGAGGGAGTCAAGCTATTCTCCAAAGCACCTGAGGGCAGGACAAGAAGCAATGGATGGAAACTAATCAAGAAGAGAAGCAACCTAGAACTAAGGAGAAATTTCCTGGCAGAACAATTAATCAGTGAAACAACTTGCCTCCAGAAGTTGTGAATTCTCCAACACTGGAAGTTTTTAAAAAAACATTGGACAACCATTTGTCTGAAATAGTATAGGGTTTCCTACCTATGCCCAGGATATGTTTAAAAAGTCAATATGATGATCATGAAGATGTGTGCACATTACACCCAAAAAATCATTTTTTGTGTGCATGCATTACACCTTCAATGTTATTATCCCTTCTCCCTCTATCATGGTAGGGAAAAAAGAGAACATCTTTAGAATGGCACCAGGGAGATTTTGTAGAAAAGCTTTTTCCAGAATGAATCCAGGAAGAATAACAAACAATCAGAAGCCTCGTTTTTCTCTCTTGGGTAAAGAGACGCCGGAACATGGATTGATAGTCCCTGTGAATTCCCCAATTAAATTAAAATGTTAAAATGGCCATCATCCCATGAAATCAACAATTCAGATGAAGAGTTGTCCAGGGGTGTGTAGATACAACTGGCAAGATAGTGCCCAGTTTTTGAGATGTTTGTCCCCTCAGAACAACCATATTTTAAATTTGTAGTTCCAATCTTTTGTCTCTTTACTCTTGTGCAGTTGATAGAAACAATCAAATGGAACACTTGACTATTTAGTGCTTCTCTCTCTTTCTCTCTCTCTTTCCTTCCCTCCCTCCCTCCCTCCCTCCCTTCCTCTCCTTCTTCTTCTGCTTTTGGCTACATTCTACTGACACTCTGTTAATTGTTTCCTCTTCTCAGACTGCTCTTTTCCTCCAAAGATGGTGGCGGGGTATGCTGGTCCGGCGGTCTCTCTTTTTTGCCGCTGTGTGTGCAATATCAATCCAGAGGTGGTGGCGCCAACGTGTCTTTCAGCTCAAAGAGGAGAGGAGGATTAGGGCCTTGATGATGTATGTTTGGCCTGAGAAGTCGACCGTCCTCTTGCAGTCAAAGTTAAGGATGTGGCTTATAAAAACTCAGTTCAAGAAATATCAAAAGGCAGCCCAGGTTATTCAAAATAACTGGCGGAATTATGTTCTTCAGCAGGAGTTCAGCAACTATTCACTCAACAGCCTGGGTTATGATGGCATAGATTTGAATATTGATATCATTGTTGATTAACAAAAACTCAGGAACAAAGGAGAAAAGTATTTGTAGAATACAACTCCAATCAAATCAATCAATAAATAAATTTCATGAGGTTTTGAGCAAGGTTGACCAGAAAGCAAAGCCCAATCACAGTCTCTGGGATGAAATGAACAAACTCGAATGGATTGTTAAAATACATTTTTAAAACCAAAATTTCTTTGGAATGCTTGGAATGGAAAGCCAGAGTTTGTAGAGAGTGTACATATGTTTATAAAAGCAGCCTGAAATGGGGAGACACACATATTTTGAATCTGAGAAGTTCTGGGAGTGGCATAGTGAACTAACATGTCTCTAAAACAGTAAAGACAATGACCATGGCTTCAGACTGGTTCTATGGAACCCCTCAGGAAGCCAAGAAGTCACCTACATGTGCTCTTTGCAGCTACTGTTGCAAGGAGACTGCAAGACACTGGTCTTCCATGGGTTTGAGTCAGGGGTGGGTTCTACTTACCTTTACTACCGGTTTGCAATGGGGCCACGCACACACTCTTCTGCGCATGCACAGAAGCTTCTGCGCACATGCAGAAGCATTTTGATGACGTCAGGGTTGGTGGGTGGAGCCTCCTGCCGGTTTTACTACCGGTTCTACAGAATCAGTCTGAAGCGGGGACAACCCACCACTGGTTTGAGTGCTGAGAGACGAAGGAATCAGCCTCATTCCCACAACCATGGTAGAACCACTTAAAGGACTGTGAGTTCAATAGCCTCATTTTCTAATCACTTTCAGAAATTATCTACTTAACTGTCTTAAGGTTATTGCAGATCTTCAGAATTGTAAGTTTGAACAGCCACCCTAACTTCATTCTTGAACAAAACAAAACAAAAAAATTTAAATTTAGCAATTTAAAGAATTGGAAATAAATGCCAAATAGCTATCATAAATAAGACTTTAATCCAAGAAAGTTATAAACAAATTAAGAGTAAAAATAAATTTGAAATTTTAAGATTTTTATTATAAGGTTTTGGAACTAATTATAAATCAACAACCTTTCATGGGAACTAAATTGTTTTGTATATTTTAAGTCATAAGAAAGATATGAGATCTTATGATTTCAGAAACTGGATAGTAGGAGGGATACTAAAGGTTCCAGGAAAAGAAGAAAAAAAGTACGGATTTACCCTTTGTTCTCAGTCGGTGTTAGGATTTACAAAATGATACAAAATGTTTTGACATTTGAAACACTTCAGGAAATTTTTGAAGACTGAGACCAGAAATTACTAGCCACAATATCAACATTAATGCCTGTTTCTATGCATAGATTGTGTCTTAGAGTTGTTAACAGAGGAATGATAAATGAAAAACAAATTCTTCTTGATGTAGAAATAGTAGAATCAGAAATACTGGATAATAAAAGAAGTATGGATTGCAAAGTAGAGAAGGTAGCTAAGGTAGAAATACAAATGACAAGCCAAGAGAATGACCGGATAAGGACTTTTTGCTAGAGACGCAAAAAAAAGGAGGCTAAGCCTTTGAAATCTAAAGTGGAAATACAAATGACAAATTAAGAAAATAAATGACATGAATATGACTTCTTATGGTATTTACAAAAGAGATTTGATAAAGTTTCAAAGAAATCTTTGGGATGGGTAAAAGAAAAACTGAAGGCAGATAGATTCCTATAACAACAACTGAATGAATTAAACATCAAGATTGTTATTAAGTAAAAGGTGAGAATATAAAGATGGTTTGTTTGATCAAGGATAAAATAACACATTTTTTATAAATCTGTGGCAATCCTTTACAAACATTTTGCTGACATCAGAATTGAAAACTTGATGATTTATGGATTTGCATATAGATAAGGACTGTGTTATGGAAAGAAGAGATAACCTGTTTGTAGACTTATAGGGATGAAGATTTACTAAATTAATTTGTATTTATTGTGTGAAGATTGGAAGTTACTTTCTTCAATATTTTTCTTTATCTTTTCTTTTTTTCCTTGCACTTTTTATTCTTTCTATCTCTCTTTTTCTTTCTGAGTTTTGTTTGTATTTGCTTTTAATACAATAATTAAAATCTTTAATTAAAAATTATAGTAAAAGAGATAGGGTGATGGAGAGGCACACAAACACAAAAAACTGGGAATTCAAAGATAGAGGTCTCTTCAGAGATGAAATCCAGCAGGTTCTGACAGGTTCTGGAGAACCGATAGTGGAAATGTTGAGCAGTTCAGAGAACCGGTAACGGAAATTTTGAGTAGTTCAGAGAACCAGCAAATACCACCTCTGGCTGACCCCAGAATGAGGAGGGAATGGAGATTTTGCAGTATCCTTTCCCTGTCATGCCCACCAAGCCACACCACGCCCCCTAAGCCACGCCCACAGAACTGATAGTAAAAAAAATTGGATTTCACCACTGGGTCTCTTGCTTTCAGGGTGCTTCTCCCTTGAAATCAGAAGTCAAATAGTGACTTAGTATCAGAGATGGCATTCACTTACCTTCATTACTGGTTCGCAAATGTAAGCGTGAGCACATGCACAGGGCCTTCTGCACATGCGCAGAGCGCCAAAAAGGTGCACGTGATGTCATCCGGGCAAGTGGGATAAGTCTCCCACAGCCACTGCTACCAATTCACCCAAACTGGATAGAACCAGCTGAATACCACCACTGCTTAGTATCGTATATGCAGTTGTTCCACTTATTTGGACATTTGTGTGTTTTAAGATTGCTGTCCTTCCTTAATTATCTGCCCTAGCCCAGATGTCCAAAAGTCACCCTTGAACTTTTTATTGCTTGAAGAAGTGGAAAGTAAGTTACAACATGCTTCATTTTTTCTTAACAGTGCCTTTAATTAACAAGCAAAGTTAAGGTCACCGCTCAGCATAATTAATAAAACCAGCAGGTAAAATTAGTAAATTAGTACCTATGCTACTGTAGTTTCTATTTTTGAGTAACTAAGTTATGCTGACTTCACTGAACCTTGAATATCAGAAAAGGCTAATTTATATTCTGAAAATACGTGAGAAGCTGATCGGAAGCAACTTGATATTTTTCTGCAGTGGGTGGTCCAGATTAATCAGGATCTCATCTTTTTCAATGGGTCTATTTCCAGACACAACTTTTAAAAATAGGGGAAAAAATAGCTCAATTGTAATAGTTACAAAACAAGTCTGCTTATTCATTTATTTGTTAAATTTATATGCTTGTTATCAAGCTACTAATGATCTACAGACTGAGATGTTGTTGATTTTGGCCTGTTTTTGATATGTACAATTCAGTAGTGGGTTTCAATTTAGTTTGCTACCAGTTCGCTCATGCATGTGTGTGCGCTCATGCACATGCGCGATGCTTCTGCGCATGCACAGAAGCATCCGGGCGGGTGGGTGGAGCCTCCACTGCTACCGGTTCGCTCAATCCGGGGTGAACCAGTAGCAACCCACCACCGATACAGTTGCAAAGCTTTTTAACCATGGCTTTAGAATAATCATTTGATTATTTAATTTATTATTTATTTTTATAATAATTATTTATTATGCTTAATAAATTCTAATGGCCCAATTAATTTGTATTAAGGCATATTTTTATTAATATAATTTGTTAACTAAATATTGTAGCCTAATTTGCACATAGCATGATTTAGCATAATGTACAAACACACTACTCTTTGTTAGCTTGCTCAGAACTAATGTAATACACACACATCCATGTCCCAATTTTCTAGACATTATATATGAGGTCATAGTGGAAAGTGTTTAGAATGCAGTATTGCAGGCTAATTCTGCCAACCGCCAGCTATTCGATTCTCATTGGCTCAAGGTTGATTCAGCCTTCTGAGCAGGGGTGGGTTCTACTTACCTTTACTACCGGTTCACAACGGAAGCGCGCACGCATGCTTTGGCACATGCGCAGAAGCTTCTGCGCATGCTCAGATTGTACCTTATGACGTCCGGGCAGGTGGGCGGAGTCTCCAGTTGCTTTTACTATCAGTTCGCAAGAACTGGACTGAACTGGGAGCAACCCACCACTGCTTCTGAGGTTGCTAAATGAGGAGGACCCAGATTGTTGGGGGCAATATTCTGACTCTATAAACCACTTAGAGAGGGATGCAAAGCACTGTGAACTGGTATATAAGTCTAAGTGCTATTGCTATACAGTATCTCCAAATCAAGGAAAAAATGTCAAAAGTAGATATATTCATCCCAGATCTTGTAAACAATGTCACACAAGTATTAAGCCACAGTAATCAACACCAGTCTGGCTTCCTCTGGGGAGCCATTTGCAATCCTAAAGAAAAGGAATGGCTAGTTTTCTTTGTAAATTTCCTAAAAATATTTTCATTATTGCACTTAGGCTGCACAAATCTGGATGATCCCCGGATGTTCAAATTTTCTATTTCTCTTTGCCATTATCTAACAGTTATATTTTGCAGCCCAGATATAGAAGCCTTATTTTTACCTCATGTTTTTGAATCTTTCCCCCAAATGACTCATCTGGAACAAACCTGATTAATTTTGGGCACTAACAAGAAGTTTGTTTGCCTAGGATGTTAATGTTTGCTCAGTGCTGTCTTATTGATTATTATGTTTGGAACTGTTAACTTCTGTTCTAATTTTTCTGTAGTGCCATGTTTTAAATATTGATTTAAAATTTTATAAAGTAATCTAGAATCTTTTTAACTAGACTTGGAAAACATTTTCCCCCCCCAATAATTAAGAGACAATTAACTTACAACTACCATATAGTTTCTGACATAGATGGACTCAGATCTAATGCAATGCTTTATCACTGAATATTTCTCAGAATATTTATCTTGGGAGGTGATGTAAAATAGTTGAAATAGGGCATCCCTGCACTGGCTAAACAAAAGAAACTCTACGTTTCTAAGAAAGTAGGAATTGTTTGATGGTATATCAAATTAGGTTATTTGACTTGAATCCAAGTCAAACAGTCTTTCACATCAAAGGAAAAGATCAAGTGGCAACCTGAGATTTCTAGATCAAACTCAGAAGATTCTGCCCATGTACCTTACTAGAGATTGTAATTGATTCGGAGCCATTGACAACAAATATTACTGTGGTGAGTAGAAAACACCAGTCTCCTTGTGAATAAGC